CTTCCCTCGCTGACGTGAAGCTGGCGCACTCCCCGAAGGAGCCCCGCTCCTTGGTCCAGGTAGAATTCTGGAAACTTCCTGAGGACTCGTGAGCTGGGAGACGCCCAGGTGTGGTGTGTAAGCCTCCTGCGTCTCACAGGAGGACGCTGAGGTGCGGGGAGAGGCGGGCCAGCAGATGGTCCTCAACGCCCCCTCGATGGGTGACCCAGGGACACAGAGGGGCTCGCCCCACGTGGCCTCCCTCTCAGCAGCTTCCCTGCCCCCCCATCCTCTGCCTTCTTTTCTTTAACTTTTAAAAATACACATTTTTATTGATCTCAGAGAGGAAGGGAGAGGGAGAGAGAGAGACAGAAACATCCATGATGAGAGAGAATCACTGACCGGCTGCCTCCTGCACGCCCCGCACTGGGGATCAAACCCACAATGTGGGCATATGCTCTTGGCCGGAATCGAACCCGGGACCCTTCAGCCTGCAGGCCGATGCTCTCTCCACTGAGCCACACCGGCCAGGGCTCTTTAGCTCTTTATTTCAGCACAGTTTCTCACGTGGAAACTGTGAGTTCCGTGTGTGTTTCACTCAGTTCCCCAGCTGCGAGCATCTTGCCACCATCAGCGACACCATTTCCTCTACTTTTCTGCACCGTGAGCGAGTAGGTTCCTTGCTCGTAACTACGCCAACGTGTCTTAAAGTGACCTCACACAGCGCAGCGCCCTTCGCAAAGGCAGGGGATTGGCGTGATGAACTCTATGGGACTGTCCACAGGCCTCCTCTGGGTTTTCCCGTTGTCCCGGCAGCGCCCGCGAAGGCAGAGGAAAATGCCGCTGGGCGTGCCGTGTGCCACCCGTGTCTCTCCGCAGCCCTGTGCTCTGGGCCCCTCACACTTCCTTCTCTCCTGTCGGCGTCGCTCCTTCCGCCGGGAACAGGCAGCGACTGGCCAAAGCCCCTCACCCGGCGTGTCCGCTGACGCCGCGCGGTCGGACGGGAGCCGGGCCTCCGGCAGGAACTTCTACGAGGGCCCCCGCCTTCGCCTCCCTCACGGGATCCGGTTTCTCTCTGAATTCCTGCTTCCCGAGTGGCTCTTCTTTGGATCTCAAATAAATGCCCGTGGCCTCTCGCTCTGCCATTTAGTTATTCATTTATTTATAGTTTTATTGATTTCAGAGAGAAAGGGAGAGAGAGAAACATCCGTGATGAGAGAGAACCACTGATCGGCTGCCTCCTGCACGCCCTCCACTAGGGATGGAGCCCACAGCCTGGCCTGCGCCCTGACCGGGAATGGAACCGTGACCTCCTGGTTCAAGGTCGATGCTCAGCCACGGGCCGCTGTGTCCCCCGGTCAGCAGATGCAGAGGCACTGGGACCAGCTGGGAAGCTTCCTTAAAAAGAAAAGGCCAGCCCGGCCGGCGGGCTCTGTGGCTGAGCATCGACCTGTGAGCCAGGAGGTCACGGTTTGATTCCCGGTCAGGGCACAGGCCCGGGTTGTGGGCTCGACCCCTAGTGAGGGGCGCGCAGGAGGCAGCCGATCAGCAATTCTCTCTCATCATGGATGCTTCTCTCTCTCTCTCCCTTCCTCTCTGAAATCAATAAAACTATAGACGAATAACTAAATGGCCAGAGCGAGGGCCTCGGGCATTTATCTGAGATCCCAAAGAAGAGCCACTCAGGAAACACGAATTCAGAGAGAAACCGGGTCCCGTGGGGGAGGCGAAGGCGGGGGCCCTCGTAGAGGGAAGGGGTTCCGGGGTGCAGAGAAGCTAACTCAGCCGTCCCGGTTCTGACGCGAGCTTTCAGCCCCCCACCCCCCGCGGCCCCCACATCCGCCCTCCTGAGAGCTGCACAAACGCCGTCCGGGAGACGCCGGGCCGGCTGGGCCGAGGCCTCCGCTCAGCGCTGAGGTTGCAGAGGTTTGAGGAGGGGACCGCCAGGCGGGCCTCCGGGAAGCAGCACCGGCTCCGGGGAAGTGGCCTGGCTCCTGTGGTTTCTAACACGCGGGTCCCGTCGCTGGTCGTCCGGCTGGGACGGCCTGGCCGAGGTCCTGGCCGCTCGGCACGGTTACTCTGCTTTCCTTTACATGAGCGTGTAACGTGTGGACAGGCTCCCAGGGAACATGTAAGCACAGTGAGCGTATCCCGATGGGCACCAGGCAGGCACCTCTGGGAAGTCCTAGCATTTCGGAGGAACATGGGCAACAAGGAAAACAGCCAAGCAAGGAGGACGGGGCATGCCTGGGGGGTCGGGGCGGGAGGGGGCACAGTGAGGCCTCAGAGGGCGTGTGAGGTCAGGTGGGTGAGATCAGCAGGGAGGAACAGGCCATTCAGGGCCTCGGGAACAGCAGGTGCAAAGGCCCTGGGGCAGGGCTGAGGCTGGCCCCCTGGGGGAAATTACAGAGGGAGGGGTGGGGGCAGAGAGGTTGGCAGGAGTCAGGGGCCACAGGTCACGTCAGGGCTTGGCCCTGAGGCAGGGGGAATGGGGACTCCTTGATGTGTAGAAGAATATGATCTGATTTGCTTTCACGTGTACCCTATTATTTAGCATATATATATATATATATATATTTTTTTTTTTTAAACAAATCTTCATTTTAACATACGTTTATTTAAACCTGGAAACCTTCCATCACCACCCCAGCCCTCAGGTCGGCGTGACTCCAGCTACTAGAATAGATTCTAGGAGACAAGTAAGACCCTGAGGGCCGTGTCACCAACCAGCCGCCCACCACGCCCGAGCCAGCGCCTTTGTTAACAGGGTCAGGGGTCAAAGGCCGAGTGGCACCGCCAAGGCCCCTGAGCTCGGGGACTGAAGAATAGGGAAAGGAGTAACGTGCTGACTCTGAGATCCAGCTCGGGGTAGCCTGGGCCATAACGGGACGCCGATGCCGAGAGAGGAGTCCGGGTGTGTGTGTGTGTGTGTGTGTGTGTGCGTGTGTGTGTGCTGTCTGGCCGGCAGCCTACTGTCAGAGGCCCCGCCCCCTGCAGTCAGACCCCACTGATCCCCTCACCCACGCACCCGGGAGAAACTGAGGCCCCGAAACGGCAGGGACTTGCCCAGGGTCATAGTGAGAGCTGGTCTCGGCGCCCCCACCCCTCGGGGCTACTCCCACCCGCTCCCGCCGAAAGTGAGACGTGACGTGCACGTGAGTCATCCTGCTGTGAAGACGGTGAGAACCGCCGAGAAGCCGCCCGGCCTCACGCACACGCCTCTCCTCTGGTGGGGGTGGGCAGGAGGCGGCTCGCGGCACAGACAGAGGCCCCGGTGAACGGGCGCGGAGCGGCGCCCCCTGCCCAGGGCGTAGGCGCACGCACCCGTGGGTTTGCATTGAGCGGCTCAGGCCCTCTGAGCCTGGCCGGGCCCTCTGAGCCTGGCAGCCGGAAAGAAGGGCTAATTCGGGGTGGGAACCACGGAGCCTGTGCTCTGGGAGGAACTCCTGTTTCCATGGCAACTGCCGTCCACCTCTCGTCTCCTGGACCGCAGGGCTCGGTCAGAGCCAGGGAAGGGAGCAGCGGGTTGGGGGTGGAGGCAGCACTGCGGAGGCTCCTGGAAGGACGGGGCGGGGGCAGGCGTGGCCCCTGGCTGCCGAGGACGGACGTGTGTGCCTCGGGTGGGAGGAAGGCGCCGGAGGCCCTGGAGCCGTCGGGGTTTGTGCTGCGTGGGCCCACTCCTGCGTGGATTTTAAAAAGCAAACCCCATGCATTTGTCTCATCTCCCTCACATTTACTGGATGCCAGTGACCGTTCTCCTGTGAGGGCCGGGAGGGGACACACAGCCCACGGCACACGTGTGCACGGGCTGGGCGTGTGGCCGTGAGCAGGAGGGAGGCTATCGGTGGTTAAGTTGGGGGGAGTCCAAAGTTCTAGGCAGACTTGCGATTGCGTGTGGGGGGTGTGCGCCTCTGACCCCGCGTGGCTCCAGAGCCAGCTGAGTGGTCAGTGGCCAGTGGCTTCTCTTCCACTCAGGCCTGGGCAGCAGAGCAGGCGGCGCCTTGGCGTGGGGGCAGCCGCCGGGGCCCGTAAGCTGCGTGTTTCACAGACGGTGTCCACGCACCCCCGTCGCGGCCCGTCCCCGCCCGGCGCCGGCGCAAACCGCAGTCTCCTGCTCAGCTCGGCCGGCCACACGGCAGAGGCGGCTGCGGGCACGCTCCTTCCCGCGTCTCCGTTCTCAGCCCTGAGAGAGGAATTTCCCGGGCGCAGCCGTGGGCAGATGACCCGGCGCCGGGCAGGCTGTGGGCCCCCGACTCCCAGACCCTCCCGATGACACTCACCCCTCATTCCCCCATTCCTGCTCCCCCCGCCCCCCCCCCAGTGCCGGCTCGGCGAACGCTCATGGGCCACCTGGAAGCAGCGTGGCGCCCACGGCTCAGCCCAGGGCACGGGGCTGCTACGGACCCCCAGACACATTTCCAGCCCAACGTCCTTCCTAAGAATAGCGCGTTTTCAAGCTGCTTCTTTAAAAAAAAAAAAAAAAAATCCTCACCTGAGGATACGACCCATTGATTTTTAGGGAGAGAGAGGGAGGGACAGAGAAAAACGTCGGTGAGAGAAGCACATCCTGCCTCCTGCACGCGCCCCCAGGGGCCTAGGCCAGGGAGGAGCCTGTAACCGAGTTCCGTGCCCTTGGCTGAATCGAACCCGGACTGTTTGCAGGCCGACGCTCTACCCACACACACGAGGTTCCTCGTCCGCCGCTGTTTCACAGGGCCTGTCCCCGTTTAGCCTCAACAGCTTCTGGCAGGGAGAGGACCGGCTGGGGAGGGTCCCGGGGCAGGCGCGTGGCCTGGCCCCACCCTGGCCCTTCCTCTTGGCTCTGCGGCGCCTCCAAAGTGTGAGACTTGCCCTCCCGGGTGGCGGGGAGGCAGGCGAAGGCACCCAGGCCCAGGCCCTGTCTCTCCGAGGCCCCATCAGCCACAGCGGCTCCAGCGCTTGCCCCTGCCCCTCGCACGCCGGCCTCTGTGCCCTCGTGCCCGGCTCACTCACCCACCGCGGCTGCTGCTGGTTGGTTTCAGGTCACCCGTCGCCAGCCCCCTCCGGCCCGCCCAGCCGCAGCCGAGCCGAGAGCCAGCCCCCGGAGCCAGGTGAGGACACGGCCTCCTGGGCCTGGTCATGTCCCGAGGCCCAGCAGGCGTGTCTGGGGGCCGGGAGGGGACGTGGACCTGCCAGGGGGGCTCCCTAACTCCAGACCACACCCCCTCCCACGCCCCGTGTGTGCAGACCTCTCAGGCCCTCAGGGTCTGAACCCCCATCCGAGAGGCCCTGGGGCGTCACAGGCAGGTGGCCAGGGTGCGGGGTGTGCATCTTAGGGGACCACTGAGAAGAAGCTAAAAAGCCTTGATGGGGGGAAGGGAGGGGAAGGGGGTACAGGGGTGGGGGGAGGGGAAGGGGATACAAAGGGGGTAGATAGGTGGGGGAGGGAGGGAAAGAGGGGTTCCACCAGGTGGGCCCTAGGTGAGCTCCACAGACATTTGTAAGGGACTGACTCTGTGCCAAGCTGAGCGCCAACCCTGGAGTGCCATGCTGGGGAGGCTCCCCAAGGAGGGCTCTGGGGAAGGAAACCACCTCACAGCCGTCACCCCATCACTCCCCCTCCCCCTCTTCTGCCCTGAGGTTTCCAGGTCACAGGGGCCTCCCCTGCGGTCTACCCTCAGGACAGAGAGCGGCCTGGGGTGACCCTTGGCCCCGCAATACCAGGGGCGCCTGAGCCCAGGCCCTGCCCCCTTACACAAGTGCCCGTGAGGCAGGGCTAGAGGGACTGGACCCCGGGGCCCCAGGCCCACTGCTCCTTCCCCCCAGAGTCCCCCTCCGACGCCCTCCTGACCTGAGGAGGAGCAGGTCCAGGCCGAGGCCGGAGCCGGTGGGTGCTGTCCGTCAGGAGGAGGGAGGGTGGGCCTCCAGCGCGGCTCAGTGGGGCCTGTGCTTGCAGGGCCACGGCTGGAGGTCCGCCTGGTGGACGGGAGCAGCCGCTGCAGCGGGGCCGTGCAGGTGTGGGCAGGGGCGTCCTGGGAGGCCCCGTGCGGGCTGCACTGGGACCGCAGCGCCTCCGAGGCCGCGTGCCGCGCGCTGGGCTGCGGCGGGGCAGGGCGGGGGCCGGCCCAGCCCACCCTGCTGCCCCTGGGCCGCGCCCCGGGGAACGCCAGCGGGACCCCGGACGCCAGCGGGACCCCGAACGCCACATGGGTCCTGGCGCCCGCGGTCCAGTGCAGCAGCAGCGAGTGGCGGCTCTGCCGGGTGGAGCAGCACCTGTGCCCCCAGGACGGGCCGCCCGCCCAGGTCACCTGTGCAGGTACCGCGCCCGCCCCGCCCCGCCCTCCCCGCCCCTGAGCCAGGCCGGCCCCACCTCCCAGCCCCCCACTGCAGCCCCGGGCACTGGTCCCAAGCTGCCCTCCCCATGTCCCCCACCCACCACCATGGAAACACAGCTGGTGCCCACACCCAGGACACAGCCTGGTCTCACTTCCAGCTCTGAGCCTATCGCCCCATTCCTGCTCCCCACCCACCCCAACTCCACCTGGCCAGCTTGGTCCTCAGTCGACCCCGGAAGCCCCCAGTCCTCATGGGGTCTGCAGACTCTACGTGCTGGTCCCACCCTCATCCCTCTCTGACCTCTGTCTCCTTTATCCCCACCCCTGACCCCCCAAATACATAAATACGCCAGGTTCCCAGCCCCTCCCCACCGCTCCACAGCCCTGCCCACAGCCACCTGGCCCCGTCCCTACCACCCGGCCACCCCTCCCTTCCTCGCCCCCTCCCCTGCCCTCCCCGTAACCCCTTCTCCCCTCACCCCCCAGAGCCCCGCGACCTGCGGCTGGCGGACGGCGGCAGCCGGTGCGCGGGCCGCGTGGAGATGCTGGAGCGCGGGCAGTGGGGGTCCCTGTGCGACGACACGTGGGGCCTGGAGGACGCCCACGTGGTGTGCGGGCAGCTGAGCTGTGGCTGGGCCGTCCGGGCCGTTCCGGGCCTGCACTTCGCCGCCGGCCGGGGGCCCATCCACCGGGACCAGGTGAACTGCTCAGGCACCGAGGCCTACCTGTGGGACTGCCCGGGGCGGCCCGGAGAGGGCTACTGCGGGCACAAGGAGGACGCCGGCGTGGTGTGCTCAGGTGAGTGCGTGCCGCCCCGGGCCCCGGTCCTCGGTCCTCCACCAACCCTACTGTGGGCCTACTGGGCGCCAGGCCCAGAGTGCCCCGGGAGAGGTTCTCCCTGTCCTCTCGCGTCACTGTCCGGGAGGGAAGATGAGACCAGACCAGACCACCCCAGGCAATGGTGGTCCAAGCCCCCAGAGAGAGAGCGGAGGCAGCTTGGGGGCAGCGGGCAGCCCGGAGCCAGAGGGATGCACCCACAAAGTCAGGGCGAGGCTCTTCCTGGGTGGGAGGTAGCCACCTGTTCGGAGCAGCACGGGAGAACGGAGGCAGGGAGGCCCGAGGAAGCTGCCAACGCTTCTCGGTAACGGGCACAGGAACCGGGGTGGGGGTGGGGGGGGGGATGGAGGGTCTTGTTAAATGCAGATTCTGACTCCGTGATTCTGGGACACGACTTGAGATTCTGCATTTAAAAAGTAAATAAATAATTTATTGATTTTTTACAGAGAGGGAGGGAAAGGGATAGAGAGTTAGAAACATCCATCAGCTGCCTCTTGCACACCCCCTAACTGGGGATGTGCCCGCAACCAAGGTACATGCCCTTGACCAGAATCGAACCTGTTCACAGGCCGAGGCTCTATCCACTGAGCCAAACCGGTTAGGGCGAGATTCTGCATTTTTAACCAGACTCTGTAACCAAACCCAGGTCCAGATGCCCGTTTCCACAAAAGCCAAACTCGTGAGACGGGTTTGGGTGAGAAGGAAATGGGTTTATTCAAGTGCCGGCCACCTGAGGAGATGGGGGACTCTTGTCCCAGAGCCCATCCTGGCATCTTAGTGTGGCAGAGGGTTTGTCAGGAGGGAGAGGGGAAGCCCAGGCAGGAGAGCAGGGGGGGCGGGGCTGCGGACAGGCAGGCAGGGTCCTTGCTGGTCCCAGCATGGATGTTCAGGGTCAGCATCCTCGAGTTGGCCATCTGGTCCTCTGAGGCCTTGAGGTCCAATGGCTCCGTGGGTTCCTTCAGGAACGGAAGCTGCTGATCGGTAAATTGTACTGAAAAAGCGTTAACATGCAGACGCGAGTGCTGATGGGAAAGCCAGGCTAGAGCCACCGCTGGGTTAACATTTACCGGGAAGATGGAAGGAGGGCGAACTGGGGCCCATCGCAATGCAGGCAGCACTGATGCTCGGTCCATGGACCAGACTTAGAGCAGCAAAGACCTAGGAGCCAGAGCAGAGGGCCGAGGAGTGGGGCTGCAGGGCTGGAGGGCGAGCCGGGGACGGGCCGGCCCCTGCGGCGGTTTCGGTTGTGGGTCTGGGCTGGTGGGGCTTTGGGCCCCAAGGATCCTGACCTGACTCCCCCCTCTGCCCCCCCCACAGAGCACCAGACCCTGCGCCTGACCGGGGGCGTGGACGGCTGCGAGGGGCAGGTGGAGGTGCACTACCAAGGGGTCTGGAGCACGGTGTGCGACAGCGAGTGGTACCGGTCGGAGGCCCGGGTGCTCTGCCGGGCCCTGGGCTGCGGCACCGTGGCCCACATACCCCGGGGGCCGCCCCACGCCCTGCCCGGCCGGATGTACTACTCCTGCCAGGGGAACGAGGCCGCGCTCTCCGACTGTCGGTGGCGGTTCAACAACTCCAACCTGTGCAGCCAGTCCAAGGCAGCCAGGGTCGTGTGCTCAGGTACCCCCCTCCCCAATACACACACATGCACACACACACAATACACACACACACAATACACACACACACACTCACACACACAACACACACGCTCACTCAATACACACACACACTCAACATACACACACACAACACACACACTCAACACACACACACTCAATACACACACACATTCAATACACACACACTCACACTCAACACACACACACACACTCAATACACACACATTCAATACACACACACTCAATACACACACACGCACACACATGCACGCGCACACACACACAATACACACACACACTCAATACACGCACACACACGCACACACACACAGGTGCGGACTGGGAATTCCACCTGAGTCCGCAGCCTGAGACCTTCGGCCGAGCCTGCAGCGGGGACGGGTGGGGAAGGACAGGTCCGGGCAGTAGAAGGACCCGCCCCTCAGGCCACAGTCGCTCTAGGCGGCCAGGGCGGCCCCCCCCCCCCCACGCAGCCTCAGGGTGTGAGCCGGGCCTCAGCACGCCCTCTCCGTGTGGCCGGGTTCCCGTGGGCTGGGGGTGGCTCAGGAGGTGACAGCGACTTACCACCGGACACACGGGCCGTGGGCACCGCACTGACCGGCCGGAGCCCTGACCCTGGGCGGCCTCTCCACGCCCTGGGTTCGTCTTATTTTGGCGCAAAGCCTCGCACCCACGCAGGACGTGGGTCCCACTGACCTTCAGCACCCGGGCGGCGCCGAGAGGCTGTGCCGGCGATGTCGTAGGCGCCTCGACGGACGCAGCGCTGCCCACACGCCCCTGACGTGCCGTCGGCTGTGGTGATGGTGCCACCCCCCGTTTCAGGGGTGTTAAGAGCATTAGACGGGAAGAGACGTGGTCTGGCCGTGTCTGCGGCTCCAGTCTCTGCCAGGTGGATCAGATGCTAGCCAGGCCCGGCGGCGGGGAATCCCGGAGCACCCCGGGACTTCGGGGTCCCGCCCCACTTACCTGCCAAGAGCTTATGAGAATGACGTGTGCCAGCGTCCCCCTGCCCCAGAGGCCCCGCCCCCGGAGCAAACCCGCCCGAATGGGAAAGGGCTGGTGGTCTGCACAGTGGGGAGGCGCGTTCTGTTATCAGCCCCCGTTCTAACCACGGGGCGCGCCCAGCATGGAGCCCGTGATGTTCTCCTTAGCGTGTGTGTGCGTGTGCGTGCGTGTGTATGTGCCCTGTTCCGGGTCACTTGTGGGTCGTGGCACACAGTAGGAGCTCAGGAACATGTGCCCAGTGACTGCATGGTGCTTCCCGACAGGTTCCCAGAAGCTGCTCAATGGGTCCACGTCTGACCTTCCCACCAGCGCACCGCCGTCCACCGAAGGTGAGTGTCTCAGAGGCTCGGGGACATAGGTGCATGTGTGTGTGTGTGTGTGTGTGTGTGTGTGTGTGTGTACGAGTGTGTGAATGGATGGATGGATGTGTTTCTGCATGGGAGCCGGCCACGCGGTGGGCAGAGAGCTCGGGGTGGGGGTCGGGGTCAGGAGGAAGTGCCACCCAGTCGGCGACTCATCGGGATGCGTGTGCGGAGCTCGCTCTTCACCGGCCCCTGATGGCCGGCCGGCCGGGGAGGACACGGCTTTGAAAGGGAAGGGGAGGCGAGGAGCGGGGCAGGGGGAAGCCGACGTCCCCCCTCTCTCCCTGACGGGCTCTCGCTTCCAGAGCCGGCGGGGCCGGTGCCTGCAGAGGACTGGACGCCCCGGGAGCTGGCGCTGCTCGTGCCCTGCGCCGTCCTGGGGGCCCTCCTGCTGGGCGCGCTCGTCGGCATCTGCGTGCTCCTCCTGCGGGTGAAAGGGAAATACGGTGGGTGCGGCGCCCGGGAGCCGCAGGGAGGCCCGAGCCCGGGTGCAGGCCGCTGGGGGCGGGGCGGGGAGCTTGGGGGACCCTAGCAGGAGTAGCAGGGATTCAGCCCTGGACTTGGGAGAACCCCTGGATGGGGAGGATTTTCCCAGCATGCCCGTGGAAGGGACCGATGTGGCCCCACGGGAGGACCAGACCGTGTGTGTGCCTTGTCTGGGGGAGGAGGCCTGGGGGAGGGGATGCAGGAGGGGGACGGACAGAGCCAGACAGACTGGAAGGGAACAGCAGTGACTTTCAGGGTCTCCGCCCCTCCCACAGCCCTCCCTGCTGCCATGACGCCCCAACACCGGCCCGCCGCCCCGGCAGGGGCCAATAGCTACCAGGAGGTCCCCAAAGAAGAAGGTAGGATGCAACGCCCCTGGGTGGGGGGCTGGGGCGGCAGGAAGGGTGCCGGGCAGGGCCCCCCAGGAGGAGGCTGTGCCAGCCTCGCCGGGCCTGGGCCGGGGTGCTGGTGGCACCGTCATGCTAGGCCCCCAGGCTTCTGAGCTCGGGACCAACACAGGACCTGGCTCTCCTGGGAAACCTCCGCTCTGCTGATTGGCTAGCCGGCTGTGATGTCACTTCCTCTTCTTAAAACTTTTTATACTTTTATTGATTTCAGAGCAGAAGGGAGAGGGAGATAGAAACATCCATGATGAAAGAGAGTCATGGATTGGCTGCCTCCTGCACGTCCCCCATTGGGGATGGAGCCCGAAACCCTGGCCGGAATCAAACCCGGGACCCTTGAATCCACAGGCCGATGCTCTATCCACTGAGCCACACCGGCCAGGGCTGCATTTCCTCTCTCGGGGGCTTGTCCATTCAGCCTCCCTGCGGGGTCTGTCACCATCCTCCTGGGACATGGCCTCATTCCCGTGTTCCCGAAGGGAAGCACTGGGCCCGCTCGCCATGCCCTGTGACGTGTGGGTCCTGCCTCTCGGCGCTCTGATCTCAGAGCTGTGCTGTGACTATGGACTCTGAGAGGCAGGCAGCGCCCAGCCAGGTGTTAACACGCTTTGCAGCACGTGTGTCTGAGGAAAGAACATGGTACAGATCCTGAGCGGCCACTCCCTGAGCATGATGGTCTAGCCCAGTGGTTGGCAAACCGCGACTCAGGAGCCACACGCGGCTCTTTGGCCCCTGGAGTGTGGCTCTTCCACAAAATGCCACGTGCGGGCGCGCACGGACAGTGCGACGGAAACTCCGTGGCCCATGCGCAGAAGCCGGTTTTCGGCGTGGGCGGGTCTGTTCTGAAGAAGTGGCGTTAGGACACTCCAGGGGCCAAAGAGCCGCATGTGGCTCTCGAGCCTTGATTTGCCGACCATGGCTCTAGGGGCAAGGCGAGGGCCTTCGTGCCTCAGTTTCCTCAGCTGGCCAGGGGGCCAGCGATGGGCGCTGCCTCCTGCAGCTGTTGTGAGGGTCCAGTGCGGCCGTCTGTGTAAGCCTAGGGCAGCGCCGGGTGGGCAGGCGGTGCTGCTGTGAGTGCTGGTCGCCGAGTGTCACTCAGTCCCGTGTGTGTGATGGTGGGACGCCGGAAAAGCCCTGGCTGCCTGCGGCTCTCCCTGCCTCTCTGTCCCCGCATCTACACCGTCGGCCGCCTCTCCCCGCCCCCGCCCACCCCCTGGCCACGGCCCCGCTCTGTTCTCTCCCCAGCTCCCAAGCTGCCCATCCAGGCCCCGGCCCCGCCCCCCGCGGACTCGGACTCCGGCTCCGACTCAGACTATGAGCACTATGACTTCAGCGCCCAGCCCCCCGTGGCCCTGACCACCTTCTACAGTGAGTGCCGGGCCGGCGCCCCGGGGAGAGGCCCGGCCGCCGGGGCCTCCGGCAGGACCCACCGGGTGACCCGGCACAGCCAGGGCAGAGCCCCCTTGTTGCCCACGGGCTCTGCCGTCGGAGGCCCCGCACGGAAGGGTTCAAAGTGCTCTGTGGCCCTGGAGGCCTCGTCCCCCTCCCCCCCAGGCACGGCCTCCCCCTCTGTCCGCCCAGGCTCCCCTCTGGCCACGCAGGGCCTTAGGGCCTGTCCTTCCTGCACGCTCACATGCTCTTTCTGTGCCCCGTCCCTCCAGCAGCCACCCCCCCCCCCAACATCCACCTTGAGCCCTGTTCCACCTGCTCTCCGCCTCCTCCGCCTCTCCGCCCTGCCTCCCAGGGAGCAGGGCCCAGGCGAAGCAGAGAACCCCGCACCCTCTGTGGAAGCCCTGGGAGCTTGTGGCAAATTCCTGAGCCCCGCCCGGCACCTGCTGGACACGCCAGGGTGACAGCCGGCCGTGTGTGACAGAGGCCCAGGCCCCTTCCCTCTCCCTGCTCTGCAGCCCCTAAGGTGCTGCCCTCGTCCACGTGGTCCCGAATGGCTCACCCCACGCCCACGTCCCGCCAGTGGGAAGGGGGGTCGGAAGGTGGGGCGTGCCCTCCCTGAAGGCCGGAGATGCCTGCGTGGCTCCCCCTCGGGGTTCGCCAGCTGCAGGAGAGGGAGAGACGGAGCCTGTCCCAGCCGCCGTGTGTCCCTATAAAGGCAGAGGGTCTCCCCCGACAAGAGGGAAAGTGGATTTGGGGACACCAGGGCCTCTGGGGTGCAAATGGCCCCAATCCTTCATTGGTTGGGAGCCGAGAGCCTGAGGCCAGGCCTCTGAGCTGGGAGGCGGGGAGTCAGGGTGCCAGGCTCGGAAGAGCCGACTGCAGATTCAGACCCTGCGTCTGTCCCCGCGCTCCGGTGGGCCTGCCTCTCCTGGTTCTGGCGGGAGGTGCCAGCTTCCTCCAGGGCCTGGCTGGTGCTCCTGCCCAGATCTGCCCACCCGCGGGGAAGGCCCCACCTCAAGGTTCTCTGAAGTGTCGGGAGGGGCACCTGGGACAAGGGGTACTAGGAGGGCACGAGGGCTTCTGGCCAGAAGCAGCCAGTCCCCGCCTGGTTTCCTGGACCAGGACCAGAGCCCGGACCATCCCTGCATGCCCTGGGGCAGTCTGCCTGCTGGTCCGGCCTCAGGCCTCCTCCGGCCTCAGGCCTCCTCCGGCCTCTGGGGACAGAAGCTGGAGCCCCAGTCCCTCCTCACCACCCTCTGCTTGCAGATTCCCAGCGGTACCGGGTCACGGAGGAGGAGGCCCAGCAGAGCCGGTTCCGGATGCCCCCCGTGGAGGAAGGTGGGTTGGGGAGGCGGGAGGGTGATGCAGCCCCAGCAGCCCCTCTCAGCCCCCCTGTGGACAGGGCTCAGGACAGGGCTGTGGACAGGGGCCTTTCCTGGTGTGAGCCGCTCCCCGTGGTGGCAGTCCTGGCCAGGTCTGACCCAGAGCGTCCGCCTTTGCTCGCCGCCCTCCCCGCCTGGCCGGGGCCGGGAAGAGGCTGTGCCTCCCAGGCCCCCTGCCGACCCGGACCCTCATTGCAGACCCCCCCAGCCTGGGCCCCCAGCGGTGCCCCCGGAGCAGCAGCGGGTCCAGCACGTCGTCCGGGGAGGGCTACTGCAACAGCCCCAGCAGCCGGCCGCCCCCGTGGGGCCCCCTCCCCGAGCAGCCCCCTCGCCTGGAGCTGGCTGGCTCCCAGGGGACCTTCTCAGGTGAGCTGGGCCCGGGGACCTTCTCAGGTGACCAGCCCTCCGGCCTGCGGCCAGCCTGGCGGGGAGGCAGCGAGCCGGGAGCCCTGACTGGGCGGTGCAGACACTCGCTGTGCGACCTCGGGCCAGGGCCCTCCCCTCCCTGGGCCTTCACTGCCTCCTTCGTCGAACTGGCTGGCTCAGCAGAGTCCCGGGGGCTCCCAGCCCCGGCGGTGCGCGGGGCACGGGCGCGGGGCGCAGGCGCGGGGCGCGGGGCGCGGGGCGCGGGCTGGCTGCCTCCAGGGGGTGACGGGCTCTGGGTCTCCGCAGGGCCCTCGGCTGATGACGGCTCCAGCACCTCCTCTGGGGAGTGGTACCAGAACTTCCAGCCGCCGCCGCTGCCCCCGCCCCCTCCGGAGGAGCTGTGTCCAGGTGCCGGGGCAGGGGAGGGGTCCGGGGAGGGTAACGGAGAGGACTGGGTGGATGAGTGGGGCACATAAGGAGACAAAAGAGGTAAAAGGATTATGAGAGAGAGAGCGAGAGGGAAATGGAGCGGATGGGACTTGGAGGGGAAGGGGGCTTCCAGCAGAAGCAGTGGGGTGAATGGGGGAGTGGGGTGGCCAAGGGCCTCCCAGCCTCTATGGTCATGGGGGTCTGGGGCCGTGGAGGCAGGACAGCCCTGGATCCTGGTCCGGCTCTGCCCTCCGGGTGGGCATCCGAGCGAGGGAGGAGGCAGAGAGCAAGGATGAGGTGGGATTCCTGCCACCCCTCCCCCACAGGACCCGGGGGGGGGCACTCAGCTCTGTCCCGGGGGCCGCTGGGGCACCGCCAGGGCCTCCCGCTGACCTGAGCCTCCGGCCACGCAGGGTCCGCCAGCCCGCGGCCTGCATCCACCGACAATGAGGACTACGATGACATCGGGGCCGCCTAGCGGGGCAGCGAGGCGCTGGCTCTGCCTGGCCCTGTCCCCCGACCTCTGGCCAGACCGCCTGGCGCGGAGCCCCGGAGAGGAGAGGGAGCGCCACCCCGTCTCATCCACACACAGAACGCGCTGCCCGCCCTCTGCCCGCCCTCCCCGCCCTCCCCACAGGGCACGGCCCCCGAGGTGGACTGGACGCCCGCCCCTCTCAGCGGCCGCCCTGAGGGCTGAACGGTGACTCCCGGGACCCGACCTCCATGCCCGAGCCCCGGGCAGCCCAGAGCCAGAGGTACGAGGCGGGCAGAGGGCCCATCGGGGCTGCCAGGAGGCCTGAGCCGCCGCTGTGCCGCCCCGGACCCGGATCTGAGCCTCCCACAGCTTACCGCGTCCCGGCACCACCCCGAGGGCCAAGGCGCCGGGCGGGGCCACGAGCCCGCGAACATGCAGCGCCAGAGCCAGAGCCCCGAACACGGCCACAGCCTCCACGGAGGCCGGGCAGCCTCCACGGAGGCCGGGCAGCCCTCACAGAGAGGCCAGGGAAGCCTGGGATTAAACTAACTGCGGAGTGAAACCAGGTGTGGAGTGACCAGTCCTTGACCTCCTATAGAACCCAGGCTGTGCGTGTGCATGTGTGTGTGCGTGCATGTGCGTGTGGTGTGTTGGTGGGCGCAGGCCTGTTCCTCGAGGCACCTGGGAGTGCTGTGGCCTGTGCCCTGACAGACGCTGGGGCTGCGAGGACAGCACACAGGCCTGGCCCCGCAGGCGGCGGTGGCTCAGTGTTTAGCAGCCATCAGGCTCCTGGCCTCCCCGCTCAGCCTCAGTGGGACTGGGGCTGCGGCCGAGTGGGTCCTGTCTGGGCCTCACAGTGGCTGAGGGGCAGCACGAGGGGGTTTCATGCTCAGAACTGCCTGGCCAAGAAGTTGATCCCGGGCTCGGGAGGGGGCGGCGGAGGGAGGGTGAGGTGGGGGGAGGGGTGAAAGGTGGGGGAGAGGCTGTGGACATGGAGGGGTGTGGACAGGGCTCAGAGGAATCCCCCCCCCACCCCCCGCCCCCGGCCCAGCTCAGGCGCTGGCATCTCAGCTGCTGCCGTGGCCGATGTGCCACCTGGGCCTTGAGGGTGAGGCTGGGCCCAGTGCCCTCTGGGCCCGCCCAGGCAGGGTGCAGGGGTGCAGGGGTGCAGGGGTGCGGGGGCCTGCTCTCAGGGCTGAGGGCCTGTGTCTGCTCACCTGTCCCAGAGGTGGAGGCGCTGGCTCCCCCCAGGGCAACCGTCACAGGATGTGGTTGCTGCTGGGTGGGCCCCTCCCCAGGCCGAGGGGGATTCCTGGGGGCAGGGCCAGTGCTGGGCGGGCGGGGCCGAGGCCAGGGCCCTCTGTGGAAGCCTCTTCTGTCAGAGGCCTGGGTTCAAGTCCCGACTCCGCCCTGTCCTGCTGTGTGTGGTCTCAGGCAAGTCCCCCCACGTCTCTGAGCCTTCACTGGGCAGCTTGTCTGCAAATGAGCAGGCTTCCCTCAGGTGGTCCGAGTCCCCTGCAGGCACAGGCATTGGGGGCCTCCCAGTGAGCAGCCCCCACACCCCCGGGGGCCGGCTTTGGCAGGTGCTGCACCACCCTCAGGAGGGCCCCTGCCATGGGGCCACCCTTCCAGGGGACCAGGGGGCAGACTGAGCCTCGGGGCTCCGGGAGAGGAATGGAGGTGCCGCTGAGCCCGATGCCCGACACCCACACGGCAGGGCGGCCCCCCAGAGCGGAGACCCCGCGGCCAGTTCACCGCTGTGCGGGCGCGGGGAGGGGTGGTGCGCGGGGACTGAGGGGCCCGGGGAGCCCGGCCCAGCTGGAGGAGTCCTCCTGGGGGTGACGCCGAGCGGGGTTGCGAAGGATGAGTAGGAGTTTTCGATGGACGAAGAGAGGAAAGGGCAGCCCAAGCCCCGGGAATGGCCTATCAAAGAGCCAATCAGAAACCTGGGGTTCCTGAGGTCAAAGGGGACCCAGCCTTAGACCAGGCCCAGAGAGGTGGAGTGAGCTGCCCGAGGTGCACAGCCTGCCCGCCCTCCGGATCCTCAGAGGGACAGGCCGGGACGCCTTCGGCCCAGCCGAGGCCCGTCCCGGCTGCCCGCCCACCCACCTGCCGCCGGGACAGCCCCGTGCCTGCTTCGCTCCGGCCTGCGGGCTGCGTCCGGCGTCAGGAGCCCGCCGGAGGCCAGGACCCAGAACCACCGCCGGTCCTGGGGCTGCACAGACGGGCTCGGGCAGGCATGGCCAGACCAGGAGCGGGGTGCATGGTCCCACACTCGGGCAGGGCGCCCCTGCTGGCCCCCAGCCTTTCCCCCTGGACACCTCCCCCTGAGGCACAGCCGCCAGGCTAGTGTCACTGGCGTCTCGGCCCCCACTCGGCCCCCATGGCTCCCTCTGGCCCCTGCCGGGGCTTCCACTTCCGTCCCTGCCTGCGGCCCTGGACGGCTCGGGGCGGCGGGTGGCCCCTCCGCACGGCCCCAGCCCCTCCGGCTGCGGGGAGGTGGGATGGCGGCCCCCACGGGAGGAGCCGGGAGGAGCGGGGAGGAGCGGGGAGACCCGTTCACAGTGGCCTCATGGAAAGTTCACCCCACCACATCCTTCAGCTGTTTACCAGCCCGAAGGCCCCGCATCCTGCCATGAAAAGAGGCTCGCCCGCACCACCAGCGAGGAAGGACCGAAATAGCAACAGAGGAAGACAAAGGAGAGAGACAAAGGGAGGGGGGGAGGGAGGGGGAGAGAGAGGAGAGAGAGAAAGAGAGAAAGAGAAAGAGAGAGAGAGGGAGAGGGAGAGGGAGGGAGAGAGGAAAGTAAGCCAGGCCCCTCGTGTCTGGGCAGACGTTGGTGAGACAGCAGCCCCAGGCCTGGACCCCTGAGTGTGTGCACGGTAACAGCCGGCAGCACAGTGTTGAGAATGAAATGTGTTTTAACAAACACGGCCTTTGTAATTATTCACATTACCCATTTTTGGGGACACCCTGTAGTTCAGAAAAAGAATTTGTGTGTGTATGGCTGGGTGGGTGGGTAAGAGAGAGAGACAGAGGGAGAAAAGGAAGGGTACATTATTATTGACTAGATGGACCACAATTGGTTATTGGCACATTATTATTGAGTAAATGTATCACAATTGGTTATTGGCACATTATTACTAACTAGATGGACCACAATTGGTTATTGGCACATTATTATTGACTAGATGGACCACAATTGGTTATTGGTACAGTGTTATTGACTGAAGTCCATGCACCAGTCAGCGCTGTCATGCTTCCCTGGACGTGCTGCTCCAGGCCCCTGCCCTGAGCACACGTGACATGGACTCCTGAGCCTCCTGACCCCCTGGCTGTGCGGCTCCTTAGGCCGTGGCTCCCGGTGACCGTGCTGTCAGAGCTGGTCAGGCGTTAGTGGCCCAGCTCCCATCGCGCTGGGTCCTCCGGCGCTCAGGCGGGCTGGGGCCGGGAGGAGCGCAGAGGGGAAGGCCGTTCTCCTCCCAGCATCGTGGCGCCTCCTTCAACGGGAGGCCGGCCTTGGTCCTGGCCGAGGCAGTCACTCCCCGCCTGACGCCATTCGTGGTGCTCGCTTAAAGGAAGTCTCCACGTGCAGTCCACGCCCCACACCCCACAGCCCACGCTCACGCCCACGCCCACGCCCACGCCCGCACCCACTCCCGGAGGCTGGAGGAGCGCCACACTTTCCGGAACTTTCCTGGTGGGAGAACGGCCTCTTCCTCCGTCCCTGCAGCCGCTCACGGTTCTGCGGGCTGTGCTTGTTCTGTTGTTTTAGGTGTGCAGCTGCTGCCTCTGGGAGCTTTCCCAGCGTGTGTGTGCGCGCGCGTGTGCATGCATGCATGTGTGTGCACGTGTGTGAGTAACCCATGCACACCAATACCTCCACACGTGGCCGCCATGTGTATTGGGGTCACCACGAGCCCACGTGGCGCAGCCCAGCCTCTCGTTTCTCCGGAACCGCCCCCTGCAGCGCCCCCGCCCCCCCCCCCCCCCCCCCCCGTCACCCTTCGTGTCAGCGCTCTCCCTCAGGGTGACAGCTCCTCATGGCAGCGCCGGGGCGCGTTTCTCTCTCTGTCCTCACCTCTCGCCCCGTTCTGGCAGAACGTCCCTAAGGAAAACAATGAAACTGGGCCCTGGCCAGTTCAGCTCAGTGGGTAGGGCATCACCCTGCAGACCAAAGGGTTCAGGGTTCGATTCTGGTCAAAGGCACGTACCTCCAAGGCAGGCTCCTTCCTGGCCTGGGCCCTGGTTGGGGCTTGTGCAGGAGGCAACCCATCGATGAGTTTCTCTCACATCGATGTTTCTCTCTGTCTCTCCCTCTCTCTTCCACTCTCCCTAAGAATGAATGAAAAAACATCCTTGGGTGAGGATTAATTAATAAACAAACAAACAAACAAATACGCCAGGAAAGAAAAAGAAAAAAAGAAAAGCAACACAAGTAATAAATTCTTGGGGAGGGAGGGGGGAAGAGAAAGGGGGGAGGGGGGTGGATGGTGCTCCAGGCTCTGGTCCGGGGCCTTTGCAGCTCTGGCCTCGTGTCCCTCACACGCCGCACACCCTTTGGGGTCCCCCAGTCACCCCCCAAAGGGGTGAAGGAGCGCGGGAGCTCCCCTGCCTCTCGCCTGCAGGCGTGCTGGCTCCATGCTCTCTGACCCGCCACTCAGCAGCATCTGTGGAGAGGAAACCCCGGCGGCTGCAGGAGGAGGAGGGCAGGTCTCCCCACTGAAGGCCGTGGAGGCGCCAGGTCCCAGGGAGGCCTGGACGTGGCCGCTCTCCCCTTCGGGGGAGGGAGACGCGGCCGGGGAGGGAGACCGGGGGCCGGGGAGGGAGACCGGGGGCCGGGGAGGGAGACCGGGGGCCGGGGAGGGAGACCGGGGGCCGGGGAGGGAGATGCTGTGTCCGACCCTCGGTGGGAGATGCTGTGTCCGACCCTCGGTGGGTCTGTCTGCTGCGAGGCGGCCGCTCTGCCTGCGCGTCTATAAATAGAATCCTCCGCCACCTG